GGACTTGGACATCCTCAGATGTCAATATCTGCAGAGGAGGTTGTCCTAGAACCAATCCTTTGCAGATACCAAGGGACAAATGTGTTTGCAGATTGCAAAGAATTTTAAATGTATTATTTCATTGTAAAATAATCCACTTGCCTTATTCCACTGAATTCTGACACAGCATCTGTGTGTGGTAGACATGGCTGTCACGTTGTGATTGCAGACACTGAGACACCGGCAGTAAGCAAGGTCATCCAGGTCACGTGGATAGACACACACCTGCATCATGTTTGTCTGACTAAAGCTGAACCCATATTGGACCCAGAGATTTTGCTTTCAAACGTTACTCTCTCAGTTTTCAAGAATCTTTGTAATGATTTCCATCAGGAATGACGATTTCATCAGTAGACAGCATTGTGCAATTGCAAACATGATACAGATTCCCTGAGCAGTTCACTCATTTACTGGAAGAGAGTGATTTTTGATTTATTTTATACCTAATCTTTCCACTGTCCTCCGAATGATTAAATTTTTACAAGTTAGGCTTTGATATGTCAATGCTTTTCCAACACATTTCCTATTCCTGGATATACTCAACTAATTAAGCAGTGATGCGGACTTTGTATGAAGTACTTTTTAATTAGCCACAGTGATTCCCAAATTACTCAGCCTTGGCTCAGGACCCTAATATTCAGTTTGGCAATCTAGTGTACATAAACTCTTTATTTCAATAGTGACATCTGAGATTAAGTGCAGTAAAGGTTTCTATGGAAACAAATATCAATATCAAAACTTTCCAAAACACCAGAAGTCTAAAAATGACTGACAGAAACAGAAGCTTTCCAAAATTTGAGGTTAATTCTACTTTTTCACACTAAATTTTATAAATGTGCTTGCATATTCATAGAATTCATTTGATATGCAAGAATCTCAAGTGCAGAAGAATAATACAGCAAGTGCAAGTTTATCTTGTTTGTCAATAACACTGAAGGCAATTTCAAAGAAATACAGGGAATGCTGAAGAGCAATGTAAATTTACATGAATGTATGAATACATAGTACAGATAAAACTGCTAAAGGTAAAATTCTAGGTCTTCAGCAGCAGAAAAGATAAATACATCTTGTGAATTCATTCCAAACTAGAAAATTAAATAAATGTCTGCCTTTCTTTGAACTAAGAACACAGAAATGTTTTCTGAATTTGACGCCAGAATGAAATGCAAACAAACATACCTGGGAATGTTACAACTGCTCTTAAAACTAGCTTTCAGAGTCAAGCAAAACAGAAGAACAATTCATGAATTTTCAGGCAGTTATTTCCTGCTATAAACATTAAGCACAAGCTTTAACTTTGACATTTATATGTGCTGTGACAATTGAAAACCCGAAGTGTTAGTCTTTACGTATGTGGTTGCAGAGTTTAACATTTTTATGAGCTTGGATCACAAACTATTTTCCTAGAAATCTTTATATGAGAATATCAAAGCATGCTTAGTAAGTGATGTTTACTAATGAAACACAATGACGTGAATAGATGTTAGATTTTGTTAAAGGCTTTTTCTGCATCTATTGAGATGGTCATGTAATTTTTGTATTTGTTTCTGTATATATGATGTATCCCTATTTCCATCCTTTTATTTTTATTCTATGAATTTGGGGAAAATGTGTTTCTTTTATGCAGAATACCACTGAGTTTTGTTTATTGCTCCATTCTCCCTCAAGAAAGAATGGGAATCATAAAGGAATGAAATAATAACAAACGCTGGCAAAGCTGTAGGAAAAAAAAAAAGAAGGCCTCTACATTATTCATGGAAGTGTAAACTAGCAAAGCCACTATGGAAATTAATATGAGGATTCCTCAAAAAACTAAAACTAGAAATTTTGTTTGACCCAGGGGTTTCCCTTCTCTATCTCTTCCCCCAAAGACTTAAAGACACCATATTACAGTGATACACACACACCCACGTTATAGCTAAAACTTGGAAGGAGCCTATATATCCAGCAACGGCATGGATAAAACAAATGTATTCACACACGATGGAGTGCTACTCTGCCACAAAGAAAGATCAACATGAGTTATTTTTAAGAAAATAGCTATACCTTTAGACTATAATGTTAAGTGAAATAAATGAGAAACAAGCTTAAATATAGCATGGTTTCTCTCCTATGCGAAACTCAAATTATAAAAAAGAGCACAATGAAAGATAGATAATAGGAAGTAAGGAAACACTTTTTTATCATAAGGGAAGGGGATTGATAGATGGAAGAAGAGGTAATGGAGAAGAAAGGAAAAGAAAATTAAAAGAATTAAGATGTGTTCTGTCCATGTACCAACTCCCCACAAGGAACATAAATATTACATACTGCAAACATACAGTAATATTTTTTTAAAAAAACACAAAGACATTGTGACATAGGCCACTAAGAGATCTCAAACTTAACATATCCAAAATTAACCTGTGCATCCTTCTCCAAGCTACATTTCCTCAGGTCTTGCAGGTCTTAGTCAGTGACAACACCATCTTTCCAGTGGTTTAAACCAGTCATTCTGGACAATTCTGTCAACAAACCCCTCAAGCTCTTACTAAAAATAAACTCAATATGGAACCCCTGCCTCCACCTTCTTGCCTGTACCATGGCTGAATCCCCCACACTGTCCCTTACATGGTCACGCTAGCCTTATCCCTGCTTCTGTAACTTGGGTCCTCTCTTTCTCTAATTTTCAATGTGCCCACTGGCTTCAGTGACACTGGCCTCCTTCCTACTCTTCCACTAAGTCAGGCATGGGTGTTTCACTTCTGTGCTCTTCCTTATCCCTGAAAATCTCTATGCTAATCTCAGGATGATGCACGCTCTCGTTGCCTTCATGCCTTTAATCATCTCTCACTAAGGCTTTCTCCGTTCATCCCTTCATCTGACTGTTCCCTGCTCCCATTTTTTACTTTCTCGATGGCTCTTGTGATCATGTAAATGAGGACATATTTTCCTGCACTGAAATCTAGGGATCTAGAATGAAGCCTTTCACACATTAGGTGCATACTAAATATTTGTTGAATATTGAATGAAAGAAATATAGTTTATTTAAAAATAACAGTTCTTATTCATAAAAAAATTCCACACCATAAGATAATACCAATTAGGTGATCAATTAGTGCACAAGAATTGATTAGCTCCCAGAGGTTGATATTGTAAGGGTTCTTTGAGGGAAGATAAGCTGTTATCAAATACTAGATCTAAAAGTATTCAGTCATTGTGCTACATAGAAGATGTGGGTTCTAATTCTATTGTTGCCATTAATTTAGTAACCTAGGGAAACTATTTTTTTTTGTTTGTTTCTTTTTGTTTTTTCATTTTTTGGGGTTTTTTTTTTGTGTTTTTTTTTTTTGGTTTTTCTCCGGTACCAGGAACCGAACTCACGACCTTGCGCTTGCCAGGCAGGCGCTTTGCCGCTGAGCTAAATCCCCAGCCCCACCTAGGGAAACTATTGCCTCTACTCCTCCTCAAGATTCATAAGACTCTCCTACATGACTTGTTAGAATTGGGTCTCTTACTTTAGAGAAATGTGACGTTCACAGAGGTACATATGTGGCAGAAGGAAGTTAGTTGTTTAGCACCTATTTCATCTTCCCTTTGTTTCTCAGCTGTATTATATTTCTTTTTTTCTAGAAGCTACACTGAGGATTTCTAAAAAACTAGATTAAAAATAAATCCACACCCAGTAATTTCTCGGGGAACTCTGCCAAACTTACCAAGTCAGATATACATTTTTCATTTATATTTATCGGTATTCAAAGACTTATTTAACATTAGCATGTGAGTATTACTGAAAATAGAAATATTTTATGTAATCAGCATTATTCTTACTCTGTTGTGTAAAAAACTCATTGTCTCTGGTTATTAATGTTTCATGTGTGACATATGATCTGCTTTGATTTACCCAAAAAGACTACAACCACCTCGAGGTTAAGAATTACAAATTATACATTTCTTTGTCCCCTTTTCTTCTGAATACAATGTTTCATACATGGTTATGGTGTGAATGAATGGATTCTAGAACCTTCTAAATAACATCAGCCCAGCCTAGTCAAGAAATAAATGTCACAGCATTGTTATACAATGCAAATGACATCAGGAGAAGAGTCCATAATATGTCATCATGGGTAGACCAGTGTAATATATCATTAATCCAGTCTGAACAACTGGTTTCAAATGGCACTATGGCAGATCAAAGATGACCTGGCTTTGTAGCACAGGCAAGACTAAAAATTAACAGGGGAACACCATACCTTATGTAGTAATGATGATGTCCATAGAAGGTATGGAAATGCTAATGCTTATGAAAGTTACACGGTAATAATAATACTCAAAAGTGTTAAGAAGTCCAAGGTGGGGTTTAAGGGTAGCCTGCGGGATTTCCCATGCCCCTGAAGACCTTGGGATAATGTGCTGCCCCTTCCTGGCATGCTATGAGTGAGCACTGCACAAGACATATTTTTCCAGTGGGGGCCATTGTTCTGGTTGACAGAGGAGGGTGCAATGTCTTGGCACCTATGTCCACAAACACCATTTTGATGGGGTGGCCTAAGACAGTGTCACCTCTTCTGTCCCTGACTTGTAAATTAAAGCAACTCACAGGAAAAAGAAAAAAGAAAAAAAAAAAATCCTAGCCAGTGTGGCTTACTTAGGTCTCTGGCCAGCACCTCCTACATACTCATGCAATGAAAGGAAATCTCCTCTCTGGCTTGAATAATGGATACATGATTTCTCAGTTTTATTTGCACTTAATTATATTATCTCTCTATCACTTGTCCCACCAGAGGGCAAAGCAGTTTTTCTAAAATACAAGAACTTGAATCCCTGAAGGAAGTCATACTTTTACTTCATTCTATTTTATGAAGAGGACTATGTTATCTTTTAAAATATTCAACCCTAGGTCCTTCATTCTCAGTCCACAACCAGACATAGAGCCAGAGATGACAAAAGCTCTGTTTTGTTGTTATGTGAATAAGAATTACCTGTGCAAATTCTTTTAAAGTTGGGGTTTTCCAGAAGGTGTCCCGGTAGGCGGCACTGGAATCGGTGTTGCCAGAACTCAGGGAACCAGGGATTCCTCGTGTTAGTGTCCAGCCTTAACTTCAGGAAATAATCATCAAATGACCTGACCTCTGGAGACTGCAGCTTTATCGTGATTCCTCCGTTAGCTTCCACTTCATAACCTTCAATGACTTCATCTCTGTCTGCCCATCCATCACTGTGAAACACAGGGATCAGGGTAGGGAGAAAGAAAGACAAACATCTCACAAACAGAACTCAGTTAGATATAAATGAAACAACCCAGAAAAGTTTAAAGTCTACTTGAAATGAGCATTACTACCCATCAGTGTTTCTTTATCTGGTGGAAAATTGTGAAAATAGAACATCCTGTTTGTTCTTCATAGCAGTGAAAGCAATGATGACATTCAGGACAAAGCTAATATCTGAGGCTCACAAGCAGTCACTAAACCTCGGATTCAGTGCTGTTTACTTTTACTGTGAATGAAAATGTCCAGCAACTAGCTGAAGTCTTGCTGGGTTCAGGCAACCTGGTTCCCATGTCCAGGACTCTTTACCACTAAATCACAAAGCCTATCAGTTCACTGTCCTAGCCATAAAAATAAAATCTACACACTTAAGACCTGCACAGTAACATCTCTGAAAGATTTCACAACTGTAATCAAGATCATTATAAGTGTGGTATTATGTGGTGGAAAACTGATTTCACTCTGGAACGCAGGAAGCACAGCATTTGCTCCTGGGATATTATTCAGAATTGTCTACCACAGAAATAGCCAGAGTTTTATCCAAGGCTATTTCAAAATAACAGCATTTATGGAAAGTAATCTCTCCCCAAATGAAAAAGAATCCTCTTGTTTACTAAATGGGAATTCACTAATATTTTATTCAGTGGGTTAGAAGTTTTAAAAGGTGATCTTCTCATAGAACATCAGATCTACCATGAGAGATGGAACACTGATCTAATTCAGAGCTACACCTAGAGAGCAGGAGAAAAAAGCTATCCCGAAGTTGATCAAGATTATTGCAATGAGGGAGAAACACTGAACTCAACACCGCTGAAACCAAACATGGAAGAATTTTTAAATGCTTGGACGAGCTAGCGGGAAAGTACTGGAGGACACCAGTGAGCAAGCTGGTCAATGTGATGAGTCATCTGTGTCCCCTGATTGTCACTGCTATAAACTGGTCTTCTGTGCTCCCACAAAAGTTGGGGAAAAGGAGGTCTGCAGTCATTCTTGATTATTACCTTTGAAAGGAATGGCTCTGAGGTCCTAGAGAAAGACATCCTTGGTTGTAAAACTGGCAAGAGGCTGGAAGAAGATTTACATCTCAAAGGGACAGAGAAAAAATTTACAACTGCAAGCTTTTCAAAGTATGTGCTCTAAAATGGAGGTCATGGGCTCATGGCCAGGAAGAATTCTATCTAAAGTTTAGTGAAGCTGAGGAGAATGATAAGGCCATATTGGTCATGGAACATATTTGTCTTTCTACACACAGGGGTGTCCTGCAGTTAGTGAAACATAACCATGCAGTCTGTGCCAGAGCAAGTGTGTTATTTGCTTCTCACAGAGCAGGGAACTGGGCCAAATACATTTGACTACTCATCATTCACTGCTTTTTTCCTGAGCCCAATGGAAATAATATGTTCTCCACTTAGTGGAGCTAATTGGTACATAGATTCTTCCCAGTGAGCTACACGTGAGCAACATGTTCAACAGGTTATGGTTGTAGAAGGTGTCATGACTTAACATGATCTAAAACTAAAGGGCCTTTGAGGTACAGTACAGTGATGGTGAACCTTTTAGGGCTTTCAATGATAACAGGCAGCTGGCCGCAGCACTTGTGCCATAGGTTCACCATCACTGCCAGAGCCTAACCAGCCAGAACAGAAAATGCCTCTATGCCTCTCAATCCCCTAGGATAGAGACTAAATCTTGCACAGATTTTTCCTCCTTCCTTTTCTCTTTCCCTCCTTCTTTCTTTTCTTTTTTCTCTTTTCTTTCCTTCCTCCTTTCCTTCCTTATTTCTCTCCATCCCTTCCTTCCTTTCTTCTGGTTTTACATAGCACTCATCACTATCCTCTGCTATGAATTCAACTGAGAACAAGACACAGTAAGGTACACCCCATGATGTTACATACTTATGAGGAAAAAATAAATACCAAGCAAGAATTACAAATCCTGTCAAGTTAAGGTGGATACTATAACAATGAGGGTGGGTTTGAGAGTTTAATTTAATCTGGTGTGCCTGTATACATGTGTTGAGAGTGACGGCTTCCTAAATAAAGTGAGGGATGGCTTTAGATTCAAAGGAGTACCATTAGTTAGGAGAAGAGAAGAGGAAGGATTTCTATTGCTGGCTCCTGGTAAATTAACATAGAAGAAAGAGCAAGGCATAATTAAGGGATTTTGAGTAGTACCCATGGAGCACAGTGAGAAGAGTGGCGTGAAATAAAAGTGGGTGCATAAATCCTAGTCTAGAAACAGTGCATCCAAAGAACGAAGTGCGGTGAGCTTGTTACTAAAACAGGTCACTAAGATCTGCACCTGTACTGTAAACGACCTGAGAGTCCTTTGTTCACCTCTGCTCCCCTGGAGAGTCCTGGAGAGACCTCACCATCATAAAGAGTCCTTTTGGTCATCATCACTGAATATGACAGCCAGCAACTTGGTTAAAAGGATCGACTCTTCATCTTTCTATTTGCTCAATCTACTGAGAAAGGCTCAAGCCAATTTAGGGATTTGCATTGAAATATATGTATATCACAGTTGCATCTACAGCAGTTTGAAGATTTAAGCTATTGTTTATGTCACACTCAAAAGAAAGATAAAAATAAAGCCAGTTCAATTTTCAAGAAATTCTGCCTATGAGCAAATATTTGAAATCAAAATGACATAACTTGAGAAAATAATTACTCTTTTTGAGATAATTAATAGTCTCAAGGTGTTTTGTCCAAAGGTTTAATGTTATGTGAGATTTTGTTCATTTACAGACTCTATAGGAAATTTATAATTTTACAAAATGTATGAATGTGTTCTTTATAGTGGATATCTGCATATATTTTTTATTATTTCTTTCTGAATCATCCTTAGCTTTTAAAAATCCAATATCATGTATCGATGCTAGAAGTACAGAAGAAAGTGTCCTGCCTTTGTGCTCACTAACAGAGAAGGGCACTTCATAGAAGGGAAGTTTCCTGTGAATACAGACCAACTGGAAGTTAAACATTAGAGCCCTAAATCCCCTTCATCACCGATCAAAACCCTTCACCCTCACGAACGCTTTCTCTCTTTCCAGAGGTTATTGTGAGTGTTAAATTTGGGAGTCATAAATCAAAGAGAACAGGGTATGATAAAGCAATGCTATGTGTTTATACTTTAAATTGTATATTTCATCTGTATATCACTTGTCAAGTGCATTTGCAGAGAATTTTTGATGCTCCTTTTTGAGCTAGGATTTGGGGTGGCGGTATTATTTTGGTGGACTCTGCAAAGTACACTTTACAACGGAGAGCCAGCAGCCTGCCTGCCTCCTGGTCCAAGAGCTTTCTTAGATGGTGGCAGTGGTGTGGACTGCGCTCCACCTGAGATGGCCTGCAGGCTCCTGGTCGCCCCTCAAGGTTGTGGGGCCAGTGAATCCTGCTGTGCTGAGTGGTGAGCACGCCCAGACAGTGCCGGCTCCTCTGTAAGGCACATTCACAGCCTCTGGCAGCCCTTACCACTCCATCTGTTTCCCGATTATGAGTTATTTTTCCTAGCTGACATCTGGGAATAAAAACACATATTGTGGAGGAACAGGGTGACTGTGTAACAGGAAGCTACATGTCTTAAATATTTCTAGTTATTCACAAGAAGCCTTATTTCGTATTCGCCTCTTAAGATTGTTGTACAGCAATTCTTCAAAAGGCTGCTCTTCTTTTCCCACCAAATCATTGCTCTCTTCCTCATAAAATTTCACATTCCATATGTGAGTAATTATAAGATTTATCTTACCTAATAAATGCTAATATATTTACCTTACCTAATAAATGCTAATATCAATAGCAGGAAAATATTATTTCTGCTTCCACCAATTGTAATTTAACAGCAGTCACATGTGCATTACTTTTGGGGCATACCAGTAAAATAATCTAACTGGCAAATGGATGTTACAAAAAGTAATAAATAGTATAGGATTAATGTTTCAGGTTTATGAAACTCTTTTAGGAAACCCTATTTCCATTCAATGAAAATAATTAGAGGTACTAAAGCAATTTTTATTTCAAGTTCTATGAATTCAAAGAATTATTATACCTAATAACAAATCTATATTTATTTTAAGATATTTCAGAGATTAATGTATAATCAGGAAAAGAAGAAAAACATAAAAGAATGATTTCAAAAGCACAAACAAACAAATGTAAATATCTATAATTTACAGTATGAAACACCCACAAAAGCTGGCACGAGGCAGCATCACATAATTAGTTGTCAATTTTGAGGGACTTCAGAGACATAATGTAGCATTTTTGATAATGGTTTAGATTTGCTTTCTTCATTTGACATATCAGAATAAATTTCTTGATTTACTCAGCAATAAAAAAGATAAGCTCTTCAATATTTTGACTTTACTGCCTTGAAGTTTCCAAATCATGGCACAGGAAGGTGGGACAAGGAAGAACTGAGGTACAGCTGAGCGGACTTGCTGAGACGAGACATAAATCTGGCAAAGACAAAGAAGCCAGAGGCCACAGCAAAGTAAAGAAGAAGACAGAGCTACACAGAGAGAGAACAGTGCGTGGCACTCCACTGGACATTTGTCACCCCATTCATGTGATGAAATGTCCTAAACAGAACTAAAGAAACAAGCAAAATATTTCAAGGAATACTGCTTCAAGATCCTGTGGTGCTAGGTACAGTAGCTGTTTCCAAAGGCCAGAATAGCAAGCCGCATATTTCCCAGGAACCTGACCAAAGCACAGTACTAAAAAGGATCTTGCCTTAATCATGGGAAGAAATGAGCCCTAGATTAAATGAATGATGCACTGATTCTATCTAACAAACCATAAAAACAAGATGTGAAAAAATTAAAATAACATAACTCTTCCAAAGTAGCTTAATAAATTTTTCAGAAATATGAAATATCCAATATCAAAAAAATTCACAATGTCTGGCTTCCAATACAAAATTACCAGACATATAATCCAGATATTAAATGAGGGGGAAAGAGATATTAAAGTGACAATTTTAACAAATTATAATACAGCAATGTCCATTAAATAGCGGAGCTTTAAGAATTGTGATATAAATGTAGAGTAACATGTTAGAATGGGGCACAGAAAAAGCACTTAGTAGGCAGAAAGACAACTTTGAATTTAAACTGAGATCTGAGCTACATGAAGGTAAGAGTCACGTGAAGGTCAGAGGAAAGGAGGCGATAGGTAACTGGTACAAAGACAGAGACAAGCATCAGTGGCTGGGCATTACCCTCTGCCACAGAACTCTAGGCTCAATATGCTTACACTCAACAGAATACATATTGGAACAGATACTACTATGGTTTACATGTAGTTTCCTCCAAGGTTTCATGTGTTGGGATCTTGTTCTCCCTGATGGCCATACTGTGAGGTGGCATGGAACCTTTAAGAAGTGAGGCTTTAGTAGGAAGTACTTATGTCAAATGAGAGTTCTCTTACAAGGGATTTGGGGACTCTGATCCTCTCTGGCTTCCTCTTTCTCTCTGTGGTCTGTTTCCTTATGTGCACATTCCTACCATACTGTGACACAGCCAGGAAGGGCCCTCACTAGAACTCAGCCCATGCCAGCACCACGCCCTCAGCCCTCCAAAATGGTGCGCTAAGTAAACCTCTTTCATTTATAGCACTAGCTTGTCTTGGATATTTCATTGTAGAAATAAAAAGTAGTTTAATGTATACATATTTTTTCAGGTATTCACTATATATTTGATGTTCTCTAAGATACCTTAAATTTTTGAAGTGTTTTGTAGGATTTTTTTAATCTTTTTTAGATGTCAAAGATGATATTTTCCTAAAGTAGGTGTTTTTATTCTGATAACATAGATTAATGAGTCACCTTTGAGATCAAAGCTAAAGTTGAGGTCACTTAAAAGCAGCTGCAGGTTTTATTTTTGTGTACCTCATTTAGCAGCCCCTCCTTTATATCATCATAAATTCAGAAACACCTCCCTGTTCAGACACCTCACAGACATATCACAAGTAACTTACAGGGGAAAAATTTAAATCTTGCTCTGAGATAATTCCATATGGCCCCCAAACCATCTTGTATTATTTAAAAGTATTGGCTGTAGGGTTCCACGAGGACTGGGTCATAAGTGGCCCATTTTGAGAATTAAGTTCTGAAAGCTTTGAATGAAATTTGAAGCTTTAGACTCTGGCTTCACTTGAGTCAAAACTGAGTCCATCCAGTGGATCCACTATTAAATTGTGGATCCATCACTAAAATTTCCATTACCATCTATTTTTAGTAGTCTCTGGCACTAATGAAATCCTCTGGTTGAGAAGAGGGCTCAACCAAACAGTGCCCTGGAATCAAGAGCTAACAACAGTTCTATGAAAAAGATAAAACAAGTGCTCTTTGATAAAGACAGTAAATATTCTCACTCTCATGTACCTTAATAACACATATAAAAAAATCAAATAACTATACACAGACACAGGGACAGTAGTCACTATGGATAATGAGTTAGAAGTTTATAAAATGAAAATAGAGAATAAATGTGCTCTAAGAAGATTGTGTGGCTGGGCGGTTTCTTGGATTATAGAGTCACTATGGTGGCTAAAATGAAACTCTCAGTTGAGAGGCATCAGGCAAGAAGAATAATTCTTCAGAGAATATAATGTT